ATAGTTGCATGTCGTCTTGTCGCATTCGGACATGCGCACGTCCCTTCCCATTCGCTCCGCTGAGCGGAAGCAATAGGCCCTACGCCCTGTCGGGGCTCGGGCCAGGGGTTTGACGAATGATAGGAAATAACGCCGTTCTTCTACAACAACTGTGTCATTATTCAAAAGTTGTCATAACCATTGTTGGGGGATCTAGCAGTATGCTTTATTCTTGTTAGTTTGATTGGTCATTCTGTTTTTGATTTCAGTCTGTTTTTCCACAACATCCCACATGACTGATACTGTCTTTTCTCAACGCACTTTAGAAAAACCAAAATGATGCAATTCATTTTTGTGTATCTCACTCAACACGTCTCACTGCATGTATTGATTTCCATTATTTTTTTCAACTTCCCCAAAGAAGCTTGAATGTAGTTGTGTAGTATGTTTTTGTGTGGGTGTAAGATAACATACAGAAGAGCCCCACAAAAGATCCGATTTTTAGATTATTGTATTCCCTGGCATTTGTTCACAGTAGATGAGGTTAAACACTAGGGTTATGTTTTTACTTATCACTGCAGATCAAATGTTAAACCATATTCATACTTTTGTCAGTATAGTGACTCATGTGTATTTAAAGCATTGTAAGTGAAAATCGTGAAAACATTTTTTCACATTGTTTCACATTCATTTCATTTCACATTGTGCTTTGAATTAGAACTCTCTAAGAGTAACAGTTACATCTTTTTTTATGCAAAATCATCTTTTTTGAGCATTCTTCCATGTCTTTTATATGCCATCCATGCATGTTTGAGTAATTTTGCAATTTCTCCTGGGCCCCATCGGAACCCACCTGTAAGATTTGTACAATGTTCAGCTCACAAGCCTACGTCTTTCATGCTCCCACACAACAATTCTCCATAATTATACAAAAGTATGATACAAAATGATGCATTACAGCTTTCCAAACTTGATGTGTTGTATAGTAGTTTCATTAGCAGAACACACGCCAATTATAAGACTTAAGTTAGAGCGTGAAAAATGAAAGTGAATGTCTAAACATTGTTTTTAGCAAATTTTGCATTTTCAAAACATTAAGGTACCATGGTGATCTAAATATGTAATATGTAAGCACCCCATAGAAGTCAAATTTAAAGACCACATATCTTTTTCTTTAACCATGTTATAACATTGTTACCTCACCAAAACATACCTGGCTTGAATGATGAATGATGTAAGTTCAGTAAGTCCACTCTCCCTGAGTTTCCATGAAACCCTTCCGATAACTGTTGCGTCTTAGGTATAACCTAGCACAGTTTTTTAGCCTAGAATTTTTCAGCCTAGACTTGTTCAAACCATTTCTGCCTTCGAATCATGTTCTTTGCTAAAGGATGCTTATTTTTACACATCGAGGCAAGTTCGTTTTTATTAGATAACAAGTTCTTCCCCATGGAAATTCTCAGTGCTTAAATTAAATAGAGCTCTGACATCAGATTCCAGTATGCGGAGCACCCAAGCTGCAAAATAATGTATTTCTTTACAAAGCCTTTATTCTAAGTTCCAAAATATGAGATACCAAAGAAAGGGTACTCAGGAGTATGTTTAAATAGTGTGATTCATCAGCCTGTTTCACTTTGTAGAAACTGTCTGACCTTGCAGCGTTAGAATTCATTTGCTCGACATTTTTTTTCATTTAACCAATCACTGCTATTTGTTTGTGACATATGTAATCCTCCACCAATGGGGTTAAATGGTATATTAAGCTTTTCCCAAATCCCATAGTAAGAAGGGCAATAACATCTTTCCCCTTGATAAAATTCACCAAACATTCCCTTTGTTCCAGCTTTAAATCCTTGATCTCGGGAACTGTTGACAACACAGAAAGTATGGCTCTTCGCTGATTGGCTGGTGCCTGAACTCACACTTCCGGGTTTTTTTGCGAACTGTCTAGTGTATTCCGATTCCCGACCTAGTAGCTGGAGAGAAATGAAATTGAGTGGAGACACTAGGTGGTGCCAGCCTGGCTTATGTTTAAAGGCATACACTTGACAAATAATACATTTTGATATTTTTAATGACATTTTTTGTTAACAATGGATTTCATGTGTTGAAAGAGTCTCCACAGTGTTTTGGGGATTTAATTGGCCAGTGCCCATCTCACTTTTTTTTTTAAAAAGGGTAAAGCTCTATGTGGCCAATATGTTGCATTTACTCATGTGAACTTATCACCTTACTGTATCCATACTAGACTGTGCAGGATGACAATCACGCAATAAGACAAACTACTCAGTACCACCATCACGCTTTTAAACATGCTTATGGTATTGTTAACTGGCTACACATTGAGCATAAGGCTTCATTTAGCTTGTTTTCCCTTAGAATTATCACATTTATGTCCCTTGTCTACTACCACTATCATTGTTACTCGCTGTCTTTAGTGGCCATTCTCCTCCATTTGCGCTATTTCAGATCAGGCTAAAAGTATCCCATTACGACCAAACAAAATGGCTCCCAATACTCTCCCTATTTCCACCTGCAAGTTTCTTGTCTTAACTGTCGAGCTGTGCATTCTGTCACTGCTTATACACAAAAGCATCTGTGCACAGTGGCACTACGGGCCCTTTTAGCAGAGACATAAAGCAGTTGGTGTATGTGTTTAGATGTTTTTGCATGAGAATGCTGACAATGAAGCAGTGAAAGCCTATGAATTATCCACTCGCACATGGCTGCTATGGAGATATGAATAAAGCACTGCACAGTCCAATGAAGGTGATCTCCACGACTTAGATCTCATAAACAAACGTAAACAAACGTAATATAAGGAGGGCTCCTGACACCGAAGAGAAACATGATCAAAATCTCAGCATGTATGCATTCAGAGCATACATACACATGCAATTACAATCAATGGTGAAATGCATTTGTACTATTGCTGTGCCAATCAAAGAAAATGGATGCATACAAATGAATAGCTTTGTAAATATATATAACAAAGCAGGCTTTAATATGGAAAAAGAATTAAATGCTTACTTCATTTTGTGGTTCTTTGCCATTGCGTAATGTAGCAGCTCTGTGCACATTAATTAAAGATCCTATATAATGCAAAATGGAGTCTTGTGAGTCTTAAGCCATGGTATACTGCTGTTACCAGGGGAGTAGTTAGCGTGGTACATGGAGGTATGCCGTCCACCCACTTCTTCCGACGTGAGATAAAAAAACAAAACAAATATAAAATAGCCTGCAACTTAAATGTCAAACAGGAGCTGTTGGCAATGGTGAAAACAACTTGCAATAGGCTTATAATATCTCTAGTGTCCTATAGTGACCTGCAACATGAGGGGATCAGGAGGACTAAACCAGGATTGAATCAGGACTAAACCAGGTCAAAAATCAGTCAAAACCAGGACTGAACCAGAAATGACCCTGGGCTGAGTGTCAGGACGGGCCCGAAGGTGTGCCACGTAAACTGTCGCATGACCGCAGGCGAAAGTGTGCACGAAGCAAAGCACAGCCATCCCCCGATCACGCTTTGCGGATCTCGCTCTCAAGTGCAAGATTAGTCCTGGTGTAGACCTGGTTTAGACCTTGTTCAGTCCTGGTTTAGTCCTGTTTTAGTCCTGGTTCAGTCCTGGTTTAGACCTGGTTTAGTTCTGGTGTAGACCTGGTTTAGTCCTGGTTTAGGCCTGGTTCAGTCCTGTTTTAGTCCTGGTTCAGTCCTGTTTTAGTCCTGGTTCAGTCCTGTTTTAGTCCTGTTTTAGTCCTGGTTCATGTGTTGTAGTCTATGATTGATGTTCTGCAGGTGATTATGAATGCCGTTAATGTTAATAACATGATTCTGCATTATTTTGTGTAAAAAAACATCAAATATTACAGATTTTTACTGGGCTGGCGGCTTTATATTTGTTTGGGGCATTGATGAATCGTGAGTCATGAATCGTGTACCCCTACTTAAAAGTCCTGGTGTACCACTACACCACTGGCTGTTATCTCGTCAAGAACATACCCGGACTTGTGTTTTCTTTATTATTTGTCTACATTTACAAAGCTCAAAATGCTCTATTCCGCTTAGTGATGTTATGTAGTGGTAGTGTTCAAGTTAGCATCTACATTTTATCGTTTGTTCAGTGGAGAATTCCAGGATTGAAATTATCCAAATGATTCTAGTGAAGGTGTATGGAGTTTAAAAACACAGTGGGGTACTTCCACATGGCATCACAAGATCTGTTTTCACTGCATTTGTTTCTTAATGCTAATGTTAACAAGTCTAACTTAAGACTTTCCATTTTTAACTGATTTTATACATTTGCTAACATTGACACTCTATTATGATCTTAATTATAGATACATTTTTGCCCTATTATGCTTTGTGGTAATTGTAGCCAGCTAAGGTTCACTGTCTAAGAACAACTTTAAATTAACTTTATAAGTTAATACACATTTTTTCTTCTTCCCACTCCTTTTCGAGAAATGTGTTTTTCAGTTGTTTACAGTGTTATGTATATGTAGTATGTATATGACTATTGTTTCTCTCTTGGCACGAACTCAAAATAAAAAAGAATCAAACTTCTTAAAGGCACAGTAACAGATTTTTTGTGTCTTAAAAAGGTGGAAAAAAAACCTAGTTCATTTTAAGGGTTTTCCAGTGGCCCAGTGTTATTTCTCACTCACCTTATGCAGTCCAATCATCTTAATTATTCACCATGATGAGTTTATAATCCTTTTTCACAACTTTCACTAGCATTCTAACAGTGCACTACAATTTTTGCCTTATAATTAGGTGCAGACCATACACAGCAATTTCATTTTGACCTTAAGAGCTGCTTATACAATATATCTTCACATCCCTGCTGGGGCAAGACACATTTTGCTCAAGTACATAGAAAAAAAACCTGGTACAGCCCCTGTAAATTAATGATCTGAAATACAATTCATTCGATATTTTCTCCACCCCTGCTTCCCCTCAGACATAGACTATATGTATCATTGTTGTGTACTTCATCTTACCTTCCTCTCTTTCACAGGGTCCTATAGAAAATGATGTGGTGATTCACGTCGCCCTGATCGCAGAGAGCCAGAGGTACAGTATATCTTCTCCTGTGTATGTGTACTTTTCAATGTGCTGTGGTCCATACACAACCATACAACAGCCCCCACCATCATGCTTTAGCAGCACTGTAATTGCACCTTCCTCATAAAATAGACCCTTTTTGACCTGTGCCATTGTGTGCGCTTTTGAAAGTATTATGAAAGCAGGTTATTTTCCACACACTTTACATAGGCTAGAGTCATTGGGTGTACTTATATAACCAGGAATATCTGAAGTGGAGCAGTGTTTCTCAAACTGTGGTATGTGTAGCCTAACACTGGCGGCACTTGAGCTCCTTCAGGTGGTACTTGAACAGCTCTTCAGTTTATGAGTTTGCCTAATTTAGAGTTCATTTTGATCCACTTTTCTGTCCTCTTTTGGATAATTTCTTGTTTAGAACTACAGTGGAATTGAGGCATTCAATTTTTAGACTTGATTTAATCCTAGAGTAGACCTGGAATAGCACTGTTATATACTTAGACCCTCGGAAGTCCAAATCTTTTCTTTAGTGGTACTTGATTTGAAAACTTTGAGTCAGTCAACTTCAAAAAATGTCAAAATAATAAAAAAAAAATCTGAATCTGATAATTTCTCTGTTCTGATCTGAACATATCTAATTTTATAATGTGTGTGTCTCTTTGTGTGTGTGTGTGGGTGTGTGTGTGTGTGTGTGTGTGTGTGTGCGTGCGTGCGTGTGTGTGTGTAATTGCTTATACATTATTCTTTGTGCTACATGTTATGGATAAAAAGCACTTTTTAATACCTGTATCGATATTGGTGCTGATACTGAAAAAGTTAATGGTTCAGGTAATGATTGTTAGAAAATAATCACATTTTTACCCACTTCAACCCAATAAATATAGAGTGGTACACAGCAAAGTCAAGAGTGTTAATTCAACTTGTATATTGTTAAGTTTAAAACTTTTACCATGTCATATGGGGTCAACAATAAAATTTGTTAAAACTACACTTTCCGAAGTGTAGAAGGCTCAACACTGGTAAAGTGATGTAACCACACTCCTCATAGCTGAATTTGACACTGATTAAGATTTGATTTTTACACTAGTGTATAGTGAAAAACTATTAACTCTATATGGCTATGTTTTAACACTTTATGAAGTAGAAATAGTGTAGAATGTTCTTCATGTTACACTATTCAATAGTAACTCTTTCTTCACTAAATACAGTGTAAAGGACTATTCCAGGATTAATCCAGGACTAAACCAGGACTAAACCAGATCTAAATCAGATCTAAAACAGTACTAAAACAGGATTTAACTAAACCATGCTGTGCGGACCGTGTCTCCTCCTCTTCTATCGATAATATTTTTAATTTGGTTTAGTAAAGTCTGGGCTTTTCATTGTCTTTTAGCAGGCAGAATTTCTTATGTTATGATTTTCTCGTCTTTCCTTCTCTACAGCTAACCAAGTAATCCAAAGTATTTAGATTACGTTACTCACTTTAAGTAATTTAATGGATTACGTTACAAACTACATTTTGGTGTATGTAATCTGTAATCTGTAGGGGAATACATTTTAAAAGTAACCTTCCCAACACTGGACACAATACCATTTTTGCTAAATCCAACTGACAGCAGGAATTCTCTGTGCCCTCAACAGTTGGTCACAATGAGTGTCATTTTTTAAAAGTTGATTTTTCAATGCAAGCAGTCGATGGGTGAATCAAGATCTTGTTTTGAATGGAATTCAGTCATGCTCATCTCCAAAAATGAGAGGAGCATGTCTGACTGATTGTAACAAGATCTTCTCTCTATTATACTGTATAAACATAACAATGTTCACAATAGAGGCAATCCTGCTAATTATGAATCATTAACATTGCAGAAACTTTTCACCTCAAGAGTCAGTCTTTCACTCTTTGGGTTTCTTTTGACATATCCGATGTCCATGTTGTAGACAGTTCTTTACAGGTGTACAGTTTGTGGGAGTCTGAGGACCAAGTACCTTGAAGGTCAACGATGACATAAAAAACCTTTGTTCTTCCCACTTCAGTCACAGGTTGAAAGGCCGTCCAGGCTCAACCAGCAAGAAATGTGTCCATACCGATCTGTAAAACAAAATATAGAAAAGAATAAATATAACATATTCAAGTAACCACCTTGTAAAATGGGCTATGCAATATTTAATGAGCCATGAATAAAAAATTTAAAGTAAATATATAGTAAATATATTATGGTGCATATATCATTATTTGTTGTTCCTATTAATCAGGTTATTCTGTTGCATGAGCTGTATGTTTTTGTATACAGGAACCATTCAAATATATAACTTGAAGGGTAATTTGAAAAAATGTAGCCCCTTAGAAAAGATTATTTTTAAATACAAGACCCAGAAGAAACAAACACCTAAATGCCATTACTCACGAAAATAGAATGACATTAAGACAAAAATTACAACTACTTAGCACATATATAAAATTCAAATAGTCAATTACAAAATTATTGGTGAGGTTACATTTCAGTTCTACATTTAACCATTTCATGACATACCTGCAAATCTCTGACAAGATGGTTCATGGCTTGAGCCTTCATCTTTCCGCTGTAGCCTTTAGGAGCTGGGGATGCGTGTGAACCAGCAACAAGACACTCAACCTAAAGAAAATACAAAAAAGAATATATCATTACTCTTTTTGACTAAAAGTCAATAGCATGTTAAAATATTGTATTGGGTAAGACATCATACTCTAAGATATTTTATTTTTACAGAGTACTACTAACCTTTTTTGATTCAAATAATTTAAATAATTCTCCACTTGGTACAATATCCTACTTCAACACACCACACAAAAGCCTGCACATTTATAAGCTATTATTAAAAGAAATGTGAATACAGCAAATTAATGCAGCCCCAAAGTCTGAAAAACATGGCGAAAACTCGGAAGAGCTAAGCTAACAAATGCTAACCTGCCCTTCCTTTAAAAATAGACCAGGGGTTCGTGTTGCGGCCATTAGATATTCGTTTGGAAATGGGGAATTAGTACCAGGTGCAGGCAGAGATACGGCCGTGTGAGGGCGTTTGGATTGGGGCTGCGTACGATCATGGACCCGCTCTTTGCGGTCTCCTTGAGACAGCAGAGGCAAAGCGTGACTCACCTCTGCCTCTGCATTTGACCAGGTCTAACCGGATACGTATGCCGGTTAGGCCGGTTAACCGGTTGTGTCCAGTTAGATCTGGTCAAATGCGGGTTTAGTCCTTGTTTAGAGACGAATCAATTCCACCTCCTCTGGTGCCCAGTCCACTCCAGGTTATCGAGCATATGCCGCATTCCCGCTGCCGATGTACAGCCTGCTGAAACACCGGGAATTCCGATAGCTCCCCTCAGAGAGTCAGTTGCAGTGTAGCCGCTGAGAGGCAGTTGGCCGCTGCGCCGTAACCCCTTCCGGAAAGTGAAGAGCATCATGGACACTTGTCACAGGACTGCTCTAAAAAAAATGCTCTGTTCCACCTTATGATGATCTAGTAGTTTTCGAGTTAACAGCTACCTTTTACCTTTTGTTCAGTAGAGATTAGCTGAAATTATCCAAATGATTCTAGTGAAGGTGTTTATTTAAAAACACATTGGAGCATTTCCTGTATTACCACATGGCATCACAAGTTGGAACAGAGTTTTTTCTGTTTGAGAGAAGAACTCGGCCTAAATATGCAGAATTTGTGAGCTTTTTAATTTATTTATAATTTTTTTTTACCAGGAAAGTCAGTTGAAAACACCTTCTCATTTGCAATAACAACCTGTCCAAGAGGCATTATAAAACAAAAGCACAAACAGAAAACACTCATACATCAACTATAACATGAAACAGTGAATAGAGATATAAGACAGTGAAGCAATTGCAGATTAAAGATATAAAAAATGTTAAAAGCATGTGCAATTATCCTGTAAAATACTCTGGATGGAGTTTTTAAAAGTCGACAGAAATAAAAATGAACTAAGTTTTAAATTCTGTCGAAGGTGGTTCCAGCCACTTGCTAAAGAAAACTGAAATGAGCTGTGCGGGCTTTAGGAACGACCAGGGTCATGTGTCTGTTGGAGCGCAGTGTGCGGCTGGAGCTGTGGATGTTCAGTAGTGAGCTGAGGTAGGACGGAGTTTTACCAATTAAAGGGCCTATATCACACGTATGAATGAAACAAAACACAACTACACAACTCCAGGTATGTTTTTGATGCTCTCCTGGTGATTCTTCCTCGATTGGTGTGTCTGTGCTCAGCCTCATTTATCTGTACCTAGCCTTATATATTTTAGTATACGAGTGTGTTTTTGTGTGTGTGTGTGTGTGCTTTATAATAAAATTTGATTTGATTTATGACATATATCAGAAAATAATGTAATCTAGGCCCTTTAAACATGTTTTTTTATGTGTGTTTTTGCAGACTGCAGGTATTTCTGAACACTTACGGCATCCAGACCCAGACGCCGCAACAGGTGGAGCCCATACAGATCTGGCCCCAGAAGGAACTGGTCAAGGTGAGGCATTGTTTCAAAAAAAAAAAATCACTAAATCACTTCTTGCTATTTCCTGTTTAAACTTTTTCCCAGTCACTCCAATCTCACAAAGCACCATTCATCATTGAACTATATAATACCTGGAACATCTTATCGGGAGGGAAATGTGATGGGTTATTGATGGCGACCCTCCTCTTCAGATCAATCTTCCTTTCAGTGCTTAAGTATCAATATCCTTGTCTCTTGGGGTCTCCTTGTCTCCCTGCTTCCTGCTTTTAAGATGTCCCTCATTACTGTCCCATCACTTAGAGCTGCTCCTCAGTTTGTTTGTGGAGATTGATTAGCTAATAGCTGATTGTCGGGTGTGATTGATCAGGATAATCGGCAGGCCCTGTCACGATGTTACTCTGGGAAATAGAAGATCCTCTATTACTGTGTAGACCTGGAATTGGTTTATGCATGGATTTGTTACTTTTAAAGGGTCCTGTATTATACAAAATGGACTCTTTCAACTTTAAGCCGAGTTGTGATGTTGTTGCCTCATCAAAAACATATCAGGAGTTGTGTTTTGTTTCATTCATACATGTTTACATTTTCAAACCTCAAAATGTTCTGTTCCACTTTGTGATGTCATGAAGCAGTAGTTTTCGAGATAACAGCTACCTTTTACCCTTTAGTTCACCTGCTTGTCTGGTTCCTGATGCTATACTGCTTTGCCTAGAATACTCAACAGTATGGGATTAAACTTGTTGCCTACCTCCATGGATGAATAAAAGAAGGTACCTCTTGGCCAAATTATGGGTCAGATCTGTGGAGAGGTAAGAATGTATGTTTTTTGAGGTATTTTTGAGCAATAAAAGCATAATGTAATGTAATGAAAGCACATGAAATTGAATTGAAATGATAACTTTAAATCTATACCATGAAACATGCCAGGTAAAGCCACAACATCTCCACGGAGACAAACAGGTAGTGCAGTGTTTCCCAAACTTTTTTTCTGGGGACCCATCTTTTAAAAGTCACAAACCTTCACAACCCAAGTCAATAGACGTTATTCATAAATCAGAAAATAAAGCTGGATTTGACCATTACTGAACATTAAAGGGGATATTTTATTGTTGACTGAGCGATCGTGTCTCGCTCAACAATTAGTATTACTCAAGTTTTAAATAGTGTAAAACAGTAATTGGACCGGCAATTAAAGGATCCAGAAGTCACCTATTTGGACATTACATGTAGCCCATTTATTTTTCTTTTCAACATTTAATTAAACCAGCAATATTGGAACAATATAGTCAATAAAATAATTCAAAAAACATTAGAAATTATACAAAACATGTCAACATTTCAACATCTCTAATGAGACAGGTGGGCCTATCTACATTTTTTTATAAGGGTGCAGGAGAAGAGCATAACATCCACATTAGGCGCAGCATTCAGTCTGTTTCTGTGTTTTGTCTTCATTTTTGTGAGCACAGAAAATTCCAATTCATACATGTATGTTGTAGTGAAAGGAATAAGTATAGAAACACTGGCCCTACTGAGGACAGGATATTCACTCGCTCTCATGTGTCAGAACTGTGTATTGCAGACCTACATACAGATCGTGTCAAGGTGAACCAAAAAAAAATCTCTTGCGACCCACCTGAGGGTCACGACCGAGTCTTTGGGAAACAATGAGGTAGGGGACCCTCTATCTGAAAAGTTACTTTCTGCACCGTTTAAGATGATAAATTGTCAGAACAGATTTGTTGTTTTTGAATATCCTTCATTGTGGTGGTTAAAGTATTTAGAAATAAAAACAAGCTGCAAGATTTTTACAAGCATTATAAAAATACTAAAAGCACAGTGAATTGGATAATAGCCCAGTTTCAGCCAATATTGTGCCGAAGAAAGCATATGATGGATTCTTAGTGAAATAAACAGGCCCAAATGTTATTTACTCCCCGCAGAGTACACCTCAGCCTCTTTGTCTTTCTCTTTAAAGCGGTTCCATGTTCTATTAACCTGCACTCAGCTCAAATCTCTGCCTGTTTAAAGTGTACTTACAGAGACAGAGCATTTCATCTCACGCCAATGAATAATGGTCTAAGGTGGAGTCAACAAAACAGCAAGGCCATGTTTTGATCGGTTTTAAAAAATGAGCGGCAAATGTGCTGAAATGAATATTACACAAGCATGGTTTACTGAAGTTTGAGAATAGTTGTCAGTCAAAATGTAAATGACTAGAGATAAATGATGTCGTGAAGTGGTAGTTTTCACATTAACAGCTACTTTTTACCTTTTGTTTAGTAGAGTTTCAGCTTTGTTTTTGACACGCTTTATCTACTGCTCTTGCTCCTCTCACTAAGCCATTCCCCCTTCAGAGCAGTATCTCAGTACTAATGAAAATACTGGCCGTACTGGAGCATGAGTTACGTAGGCTTGTGGACTGAGCGTTGTACAAGAGGCATGACTCATACTGTAAGGAGGGTCAAACAGCGTCCAGGAGAGATCGCAAGGTTGCTCAAGCATGCATGGATGACATATACAAGTTTAAATGTTTTGCCCAAGGACACAACAGTATCGACAGCTGGGAGCATCAAGTCAGTGGGCAAAAACTTCAGACTTGCTAATGCTGCAGTGATACGTTCCTGTGATACACGTCCAACTACAAGGCTGTTTGAAGCTTCTGTTTTTTTATGTGTTTTCTGTCACCGTATCTATCATTGGTGTCCCTCATCTGAATGGGTTATTTGAAGTCTTGTGTCTCCCTTGGGCAGCATCCATCACTCAAGCCCGGGTCCTGTCCTACATCCGTAAAGCCTCCATAAATCACGTCTTTAATGTGTATTCTCCTCTCAGCTCCATCCAAACAAATACTATCTTTTATGGCACCATCCCTTTGGGCTTTTTCTATTTTTGAACGAAATCGCGAGGGAGAGCAGACAGGCAGAGCATGTCATTCGGACCATACACAACAGACAGAGGTCAGGTGCACTATGTAACTTTTTTGGTAGAGGGTTCGCCACCTGCTTGTCTCTATTAAGATATTATTGTTTTGTTCCTGCAATATTCCAGAGTATTAAAATGATCTATCTTGCATTCATTCAGCTGTAGGTGTTTTTATTGCTCAAAATTACCTTGAAAAACGTTTTCACCTCTTCACAGAACTGACTTGACCTCCTGGCCCCACTATCTTGTAGCCGAGGAAATAGATAAATTTAATTCTATTCCATGAAACATTCCAAGCAAAGCAATATCATTACCCCAGAGACAAACAGGTGGCAGACCTTCCACCAGAAAAGTTACAGAGTGAACCTTTAATTTCCCACCCTTTCACCTTTGCACCCTTAAGATAGATACTGAACACTTTAGAGACAGCACCCAGCAAGAGCTGCAATTTTTGAGATGCTTTGAGCTGGTGGTGTAGTCATAAAACATTTACAAACATTCCTTAAAACTAGATTATATATGATATTCAACCAATCAGTCAAGCGGTTCTAGGGGAGGGGTCACCGGGTCCCTGGCCCCACCTCTAATCTGATTGGCCCCTGAAGTGCCCCTCTTCTGTCAATCAACTGACATGAAGAACAACTGGAGATTTCAATGATCACTGATGCAAATCTACCCCCAAACTCTTGGCGGCAGTAGACTTATTGCATCAATACAACGTAATAGGAGTAGAAACAGACCTGTAGAGAGCTTTTTTTTTTTACTGTCTATGCTTATATTTGTGCCGTATTTGAATTAATCATTTGTGTGTTTGGATGTACCCTGTACTTGACCCCTGAATGTAACATGTGGCTCCTTAATGGCCCCTTTTTCAGAAAAATCATAGAATCGCCACTGCAACATGGTAATTGTGTATGTTCTCATATGGCTAAGCTTCTAGCTTTCCTAGTTTATTTTGTTTAGTTATTGAGGACAATGCACATAAAAACACTTTTCTATACAAATGTGGAAATATGCTTTTTGCAAGTTTATAGCTAAATTTCTTATTACCTCTGGCTGTCTCTAAACAGGTTAACACAAAGAAACAAAAAAAAGTACAAAAAATATCCAGTGAATCCATTTAGTAACACTAGACCCACTCCAGTCACAAACATCCATGCACTTTTTTTATATACAAAACAAAATGTGCCGCTACATTTATGCAAGGCAGTTTTTTTATAAGAGATATGTTTTAGTGATACTGGTCATGGAATTATTATTGGTACACTTATTATTTGGTGCTGTGGAATAAATTTGACCAGATAATGGACTATTTGAAGTGAAAAATTATTTGCTTCAACATTTGCAGGTACTCCATTTGGATATTTATGAAAATGTTATACTCAATACACCATAAATACCATCCCATTTCAAATCTGCCAATGTCCCACCCCCTCACTCTGAACCTCGATGAAGACATCAGTTTTCCACTTCACCTGTCAGTGACCATAATGTTATACCAAAGTTGTGTACTACTAGTATACTTCCACCTCCGCAGGCCTGCATCCTGCCCCCTTCCCTGTTGTGTTGCTCCCCCAAGTTCACCGTCTACCTTTGAACTGCCATTCCTGCTACTCTCTCTCTCTCTCTCTCTCTCTCTCTCTCTCTCTCTCTCTCTCTCTCTCTCTCTCTCTCTCTCTCTCTCTCTCTCTCTCTCAGTCTCTCTCTCTCTCTCTCTCTCTCTCTCTCTCAGTCTCTCTCTCTCTCTCTCTCTCTCTCTCTCTCTCTCTCTCAGTCTCTCTCTCTCTCTCTCTCTCAGTCTCTCTCTCTCTCTCTCTCTCTCTCTCTCTCTCTCTCTCTCTCTCTCTCTCTCTCTCTCTCTCTCTCTCTCTCTCTCTCTCTCTCTCTCTCTCTCTCTCTCAGTCTCTCTCTCTCTCTCTCTCTCTGTCTCTCTCTCTCTCTCTCTCTCTCTCTCTCTCTCTCCATCGCAGCATCCTCTCCCCTTTTGAGTCAGTGCGAGGATGCCGAGCAGAATATTAAATCTACAGTTCAGACAGACATGGCTTCCCTCTACAGAATCAGTTTATCTCAGAGCCACCAGCGTCTCT